AAAGCCCTTGCATAGTGCCCATGTGTGTGTGCTGGGTGCCAAGGGTGAAGACCTGGCCCTACCATTTTTGTAGCAGGTTTGTCATTGACTTGAAGACGGAAAACTTGGCCCCACTGGAATCTGAAAAAAGTGTACATAGTAAAAATAAGCAAAGAAAGCCCTAACAGAAAGGAGATGGCAATGAGTAATGTATAAAGTAGAAGACAGAAAACAAGAAAAATACTAATAAAGCAGTACTTAACACTTGATAGAGCAGTAGAAAAAAATGCTCCAGCATAAGGAGCCTCTCTCAGGATGATAAGGAATCTGACAAAAGCAATTTATCTCATTTTAATTACAATAAGTTTCCAAAGCCTGCAACTTATGCTGCTCAAGTTGGCAACAGACTCGCCTGCAATAAATCAAGATTTTCAACCTCCAGCCCCTCCAAACTTTGTAGCAAACACTTTGCTGTCCTTAATTGCAGTAGCAGAGTAACACAGATGTGAAATGGAGGGCACTTTTCTTCCCAAAGCCTCTGAAAACTTTGAGGCCTACAGAGACCTACCTCTTAGCATTGCCCATCTTCACCCTTTGCTTGTAAATCCACATTTAAAAAATACAACAGTAGTGACCCCAAAAGGTACAGCTTTACAGTACGGTTACTAATGCCGCCCTTTAGATAATAGTTCTAGAACAGTTTAGTATATTTAAATGTTGTTTCCAGCAAAGATCAAAAGTGTAATCTCTGGAGATAAAACATTCAGCCATTTATATTTTTTTTACTAAAAAATGTAATACTTATGCAAATAAGTTGGTTCTTGAGTCTGTGAGAAAGTGGCTTTGAGGCCTGAATCAGCCCTGCTTAGCCAGTGAAAATCTTTCTGTTGGCTTCAGCGGCTTTGACATTAAACCTTTGGTGCATGTGTGTTTTTTCTGAATGAACCAAAGAAACAGCGGATGCTGATAACTGGTCTAGCTTGTTATAAAGCACAAAGGTGCTTTGTGTTTAACAGTGTGTATTATCTCAACCTTAACTCTAATGATGCTACCACCTTACTATACTATACATTTTTTAACTGATTATAAGAAACCAGCATATTGCCCATTTCTTCTCCTCTGACACAGAATCCATCTCTTGCACTCTTTACTGGTGCAACAGAACAAACCTTTTGGGAGGGTTTCTCATATGCTGCAGTCTGAGCTAGGGGAACATGGGCTAATACAGTAATTACATAGCCTTTTCATCCACCTGATACTTAGTAGTTTTTGGCTGGCACAAGTGCGCACACATTTCTGAAGCCCGTGGAGATGTGTCTGCTTATCCAGCTATGAATTTGGCACTGCAGGCTTTGCTCAGTGGCTGACCCTCAAGATCTGTCCTTCTTGTTCCCCTTACAATGGATTATGAACTCTGCAGCAGTTAGCAGTTTTCAAGCCTGTCCCATGGATGAAAAGTCAATACAAAAATGATCGTTTAACAACCAATAATATAGCATTTTATTTAGAAATAAACTCAATCTGCAAGTAATTAGTGAAACATTATTTCTGTGGAAATGCAAGCCAATGAATAATGAATGACTAAGGAGCCACAGCCTAACATGCTTTGGATTCTCTGGAAAGGTATTCTGCTCCTTGAAGTGTCGACAATGAATTAGTGAGGATAGTGACTGCTACACCTTCCAGCTCAGATGGTCCCATTCAAGCTGAAGAGGATCCCAACTCTAATCTACTACCCAGGACAGGAAGTATTTCTCACTTCCTCTTTTTTCTTAAGAAGATAAAAAGCCTGTTACATAGGCTCATAAAGAGGAGCACCAACCCCACATGTGGGAAAGGCTCTGGTTAACAATCTTGTATTAACAGTGCCACCAACAAACCTGTATTTGGCCAAGTCCAAGTTTGTTCATTATTACAACAGCCTCAAGGAACGTGTTTGCTAATGTACCGTAGTTTTGAAGTAACAGTGTCTGAAAATAATTTAAAAGATGGCTACCAACAATAATCCAGGCATGTCTTGGAGTCCTAGTGCTTCAGCCACTTCCCTGGGGCTGATGTTTGCCAGCAAGTAAGCAGCTGTTCCAGATTTTTTTTTCCAGATTCCCTTGGGCAGCAAAGCCTGATGCCTTTGTTTCCAGTGACAAATGGGCACCTGTCACTATAATTAAAAGGTGATGGAGCGTCAGGTCTGAGGTATGTCATTTCTCTTGGTGGCTTCCATTGACCTCTTGGTGGTCAATGTTACTATGGCACAAGAGTGAGCGCAAGCATATCTAGGAATATGGAGAAACTGCATGCTGGAATACCCAGGGAGGGAGACACAATCTGAGAGAGAGAAGACACCAGAAGTCTAGGGGCTAGAGAAAGAAAAGCAGCACAGGAGAGCACCTCCCAGCATCTGAGCATGCTCAAGGAATGCAGTCTCTTAACTAGCTTCTGATGGGGGTGTTGAGGAAAACGAGGCAGCCATCATGAGACTCACAACGCCAGACAGAATAATTACTTGACTGACAAGTTGCAGCTTCCCTGTTTGTTAGTCACTTAATGTGTCCTTGGAGCTGCTGCCTCTTGGAGGTTTTACTCACAGTTGTGATTATTTCATGGGGGTCTCTCAGAACTTCCCACTGTCCCCAATTTCTCTGGTTTCCTGTGCTAATTTTCCTGCCAACTTTCATCTCTGTTTGTGACAGTCACACAGAGGCCAAACTTAGTGCAGAATTGTTTTTAAACTTCCTCTCTCAGCAGGGCACAGGGCTAGTGACTCCACCGTTCAAGAACCACACTTTGGTTTGTTTTATGCTGTGCCTGTGCCCAACCCTGAAAAGTACTAAAATGTGCATTTAACTGTGCTCTGGGCTCCTGCCTGCTGTAGGCAAGTGTGGATTACATGCTTTGCAGACACTGTGTGGCTGCAACTTTTGAGCCAGATGCTGAGATCAAATTATTTTGTGGTTGAGCTCTCTATGCTTGCCATGTAGGAAGTTCCTTGCTCAGAGCTAGTAACAGATCTTTCGCTTCTTGAAGTTTCACTCAAATTTGATTCTATATGCTTTACTTCTGAAAGTAATTTCCACTTCTGTGCAAGCAGACTGGATGCTGCAATGGTAGAAAGGTCAAAACAGTATTTCCCCTCTCTCCTTTCCTTTGTCACAATAACTATGAATTACTGCCTTTTGCATTGGATAGCCAGATGATGAACTGACTTTCACAATTCAGTGAAACATATTTTTGTTGCCATCTCCTTCCCAGTCAGCCTCTCCTGGTTTGTCCATTTTCTCCAACAGTTATGTCTTATCTGATACAGAATATGATCTCTCTAGGGCAATGACTGTAAGTCAGGGCTGGGCAAAATGGCAGATCCGGCCGGTTGCCGGACTCCACACATGGCTGGGGCCAGTTTCCATGGAGACCCCAGCAGCAGCCACACTGTGATAGTGCATGGCCAGGGTTTCAGTAGAGACCAGTCCCAGCAGCGCTGGCAGGGCGCATGGCAGAGCAGGGGCTTCTGAGCTTGGCTGGGATCTTGTGGCAGTGACAGCTTGATCCAGGGCCAGAGCAGAGCCGCAATCTGCAGCCTGCATCATGTAGGCAGGGCCGTGCAGGCAGCAGATTGTGGTTCTGCCCCAGCTCCTTACAGCTATGACAGCATAATCCAGAGCAGGGGCAGAGCTGCGATCTGCTGCTTGCACGCCCCTGCCTGGAGCCTGCAGATTGTAGCTCTGCTCTGGCTCTGGATCATGCTGTCACTGCTGCAAGATCCCAGCCAGGCTCCAAAGCAGCTCCATACCTTCACCATCCCTCCCACCGGTGCCAATGCTGCTGCTGCAGTCCACCTTGCACAGGCAGCAGCAGCTGAGCCCACCCGCTTCCGCCCACAGCACAGCCCCCCTTCAACCTCCCCGCTAGGAAGAGGCTGGAGCCACTGCTGCCTGCAAGCGGTGGTCTCCATGGAAACCCTGGCCCCACCTATCACAGCATGGATACTGCTGGGGTCTCCATGGAAACTGGCCCCAGCCACATGGGCAGGGACTGCTGTGACACAGAGTCCGCTGCTGGCCAGATCCGGCCTATGGGCCAGACTTGGCCCGCCCTGATGTAAGTTCTACATTGCCTAGCACTACAAGTCCCTGATTCTTGACTGGGATGACTAAGCAGTAGTGCAGTACACACAGATAATAATGCAGGGAGCCCAAATGTTTTGATGCTGACAGTCGCCTAGGGAGCTCACCAGGAACCACAGGCTGAACCTAACTTACACGTGTATTCACTTGCTCAAACAAAAATAAATGTGCAGAACTGCACTACTTGCCTATATTCACTTAACAACCAAATTAGAGTTTGCTTATTAGCCAAGTTCTCTAGCAATGGATGCATTCATCTGGCTGGCTGTGTTCTTCTCCCTGCCACCACAGCAATTGGTGACCACACATTCTTCTTTGCATTTGGGCATCTCTACTCCGAGTTCTCCTGGGCCAGCTGTAGCTCAGACAGGAGGCAAGGACTCTAGACATGCCGCGGCGTCCAAGTGTCTGGAGAGAAAAGAAGGCAGGTATTCTAGTCCTCCCAAATGTAAACGTAGTTTTATTTAATGCCTTTCATTCATCACAAGGTATTTTCCCTGTCCCCACCTGCCAAAAAATAAGATGGCAGCATAAGGCACCGTGTAGACACATGCACAGTCCACATACCATCTATAGAAGGTTTAAAAAAAACACATAGCTATAGTTTTTACCAACAGCCCCAAGTGTCCTCATTACTAATGTACACAATATGATTGTCCCCAGAGTTTATCGTGGAGAAAAGAACTATTAAATTAGAATGGTAGGACCGCCCCCATCCCCAAATAAAAAAAAAAAAAAAAAGATAAAAACACAGGTACAGAGCTTAATACCAGAGTAATGAGATAAGTTCATAAATTAAAAAAAATACAAAAAATCAACTTTCACTCTTATTTTCAGAAAGTCCCACATGATGTGATGCACTGTGCAGTGAGCATGCCCAGAGATTCCATGCTGTGTCCTTTCCCCTTTTCAAAGCAAGAAAACTGATAAGTAGACCCAGTACTCTTAGTCTTTTGTGTGCTTCAGAGTCATTCACGTGGTGAGAAAGCAGGCAGAGTCCAGTTTCAGCTCTACGCATCCAGTTTAACCAGATAATCGCAGGATCCCCGCTTGGTTATGTGAAATTTTCTCCTCTTTCCAAAGGAAGGAGGACTTGATGGGCAGATTTCCTGTTGTAGATTCTTAAAGGGTTCTATACAGAGGGTTCCCCTTCAAGTTGCTGTGAGCTCTGTTTGAGAAAAATGCTGAAGAATAGGCTGAGGTGATGTAACAGTTTGAGTGATGTGAGCCCAGCACCGAGACATTTGGGTCTGCTACAAGTACTCCAATTCCAGGGCATGCCTAAGAGCCTCTAGGTCAGCATGGCAAGAAATTCTCCAGAATGGCATGTTGTGCTAGAATGAAACAAAAAGATTTGTTTTTAAAGAGCAGGATCAAAAGATCTTAATTTGCCCCCCTGAGCAATTGGGAGTTTTAAAGCTTTGGTCATGTGCTTGTTATAACAGACAAAAAGGTTCATTTTAGGAGTGGAGAGGGTTGAAGTCCACTCTAGAGACATGTCTCTGCACACTTTTCCATTCTGCAGCAAACTGCTGGAAACTGCAGGTCCTTGCCAGTTTGTGAAGTACTTTCACATGCTGCCCTGCTTCAAAGGGTAAATGGAGCTGGGCAAAGCCTCTAGATACCTACAAATGTTTTTATATTATTCACTAAACTTTACCCTCAAACTTTTCCTTGAGTTTAGTGAGGACATCTTTAGAATAATTATGCTGATAAACAAAACGTTGATGCTATTTCATGGTATTTAATGCGCAGGCAAGAGGTGCTGAAAGATCTTCACAAACTGAAAATCCTTCCTTGTAACATGTGCTACAGGCCATCATATAATCTACTTCCCAGTAACACCATCTTCGTGCAGTCACCTCTTCATGAAAGACCAAATTGTGATAAAGTGAAGTCACTTGCCTAATCAAAAGCATAAAGATTTTGGCTTTATAGCAATTACATTTCTGCTTGCAGGGAAGAAAGTCTTCCACAAGGAGTGGTAGCTCATGAATTATTCCCTTGGAACTTAAGCCCATCTAGACCAGTATCAGCTGTCTCAGGGAAAGATGAAAGAAATGCTACAGTAGGCACACAGAGAATAACTTGTTTCCAAGGAAGTTTCCTCCTCGCTTCCATCTATCAGAGGTTGCCTTATGCTTGGATGCATCACTTTTACAATTTTTAATTTTTTTTTAAGTACTTGCTGTTATAATACTGATAGGCCATTTTTATTGAAATCTCTCTTCACAATAATCATATACAAATCCAATCCTTGACCTTACAGCAGTCATATTAATGCCTCAATTCAACCCAGGGAAACTGTACATACTCAAAAGCCAGATGTGTTTGCAAGAAAAGAAATACTTGTCATCTGTGAGTGCCAATAAACAAGTGATGCTTAGTTACAGTGTGGATCTGGTCAATATTCTGATAATAGCGCAGGTATTGTTTTGATGCTTCTGACTAGCACTTGATCCTCGCCATGGTTTTCTACGCTCAATCCTGATGGAATGAGAGAACCTCAAAAGGTCCAGATGTTCCATTTCGATCTTATTGAAGCTTCTTTAATTTGCTGTTGGGGGGATGGGGGATTATGAAGAGGGTGGGGGCTAAGCTTTTACTTGTTTTTTTAATCCAATCCAGTTCAGCCATCTTTATTTGATATGAAGACAAAGTCCTGGTCAACAAATAGGTTTTGTATCGGTATAATTACTGCAGCTGGGAACGTGATGTTTGTGTGCTTTTTGGTTTTTTTAAACCCAACACAGTGATATTATAATACTCCTAGTGTTGATGCAGCAACATCTGTATAAAATGCTTTATCTATCTTATTCCCATTTCTTGATAGGAATAACTGATATCACTGCATAAATACTAGGAGAGCTGTAGCCCTTGAACAATATCAGTACAGATAAAGCAACTATCTAGACAAGGCTTTATTCTGGTGTCTTGACATTAAGCATCTCATTTCCTGGACAAACAAAATTGCTGAAGGAAGAAAATGCTTTCCAAGTGCAGCTACCTATGTCGAACAATCTAGTAGCTCCCGAGTGTGCTCTAACATTTAAATGCAACGCAGGCTCTTTTTGGGTATGTTGCCTATTGGTAAATAACAACAACAACAAAATCTTTCCTAGAAACTTTGTATCACTCTGTTTACTCCATCACAAGCAAATACGGGAACATCTGAAGCGACTAGAATGCACTGCTCTTCAATTTCACTTCAGAAGGAAATAGTTATTTCCTCCCTCCCTGTCCCCATGTGTATATAAGATCTCTTCCATTTAAATGATCTATTTTTCATCCTTTAAAGAGCAGAAAACTTGGCCTCTCAACCACACCCATTGTTCAGCTCTCTCAGATTTATCAGTCATCAGATGGTAAAGAAAAATGACCCATTAAAACTGAGATATTATCAGTGCTGCTGACAAAACAGTGAAAGGCTTTCTGCTGCCCCATTTTTTATAAAGCTCAGGTGTGTAGCAGCCTTGACTAATGACTGTCATCAATCAAGGGCCATGACAGTTCCAGCAAACAATGTGTTCTGTTAATGGGAGAATTGCTTAAGCCAGGAGATACAAGAGGCCTCTTAAGATCCTGCCTGTAGAAGATTACTGAACCCTCCTGCTACTTCATACCGTCAGGGAGCCTGGCAGCCTTTGATGCAGTCAGGTGCATTGATCCACTACCTTTGAAGTACAGCACAGGGTGGTTGAAAATGGCAGGCTATTATCATTTCACTTTCAGCCCACTTTCATATTGGGTTTTTCTTAGATGCCTTCCCCACTCTTAGAAAATCAGATAAGCACATGGAAATTCAGGTAATTGGTTTGAAACAGGAAGTGAGGAAAAAGTTCCCAGATGCTTGAAGGCAACACTGGGACAGGACTCTGGAAACAGAGCAAGTTCTGACCCAAATACACTTGGTTGGAGCCTGAACTCCCAGTGTGACAAACCTTGTCTGGAACTTGTTTGCTCACACTTCAGAACTGGGAACAAACTAGGCATGTCACCCAGGGGGTCAAAACAGAAGCACAAGAGTCTTAGGGCTGTAAGGGGAAAGAGGCAGACACTCTGAGAAGGGCATGTTCCATATACTGACGGTATGCCTAGCCTTGCAGAAACCAAAGCAGTGGCAGATTTCCAATCTACAAAACTTCATGACTTTAGGGGTCTTTTCTGAACTGTTCAGAGGCTTTATCAGCACAAACAAAACCCACTACATGTACTTTGGGAGCTGCACCATAAAAGTCTGACAGTTCAATTCTCTCTTCTTCCCTTTTCTGAAATTTGGTAGCTTTGCCATCCTCTTTGTCACCCAAACCCATACAGCTTTATTGGGCCTTTGGACTTCACCCCATCCCCACTAAGTCTTTGTGTCCTGCCATCATTTTCTACTGTATCAGTCATTCTAGTACCCTATTCAAAGTGCACCTTCTTCCACTAGTACATAATCCTAGCCTGAGTTTTGGCTTCCCCGGTTTGACGTCTCCATCACTTTTGTCTCTCGTCTTCCATCTATCCCAAATATGGTTGCTAGGGTGATCTTTCTTTCTTACAGCTCTGACAACATCCAGGCCTGCTGTTAAGTATGAACCATGCAGGTAACTACCCACATCAAAATATTTCAGCAGCTTGGCTCTGGTCTCAGAGGGAAAAAAGATGCACAAAACCATCCTTTTTTAAAAAAAGAGAAGAGTCAAGATGTTATAAAATATAAATTCAATTTGAGATCCAGGCAGAAGTCCAGGTGACCTCTTCCTGTATTTGAAATGATTTGGCAATCTCAAACTGGAAGCTTCAGTTGGTACCTAAAAATCAGGTATTATTTTCCTGGACCTTTCCACCCATCAACTAATGGGATTTCAGATACTGTCTTATGATGTGCGCATGAAGCTAAACATTTGGCCTTCACCTCTCTCTTTGGATGCTTGTGACTACACCTGTCCAGTGAGAATGTAACACCAGCATTCTGGGTCGGTTGTCCTCAATTATGTTGCTTTAAGATCTTTCCATCTTACTTAGTTTGTATTCAGTATGCCCAACCTCATTTTACTTTTTCTTGTTAAAATTAATCAAATGGTTCCATAAATCATTAATAAAACAAACACAGCCACTCACTATTAGTCCCTTTGGTATTTCTTGTAATGACATTAGCCTCCATGACCTCACTGAGTATAATATGCTGTAATAAATCACTCGCAAAGAATTCCACTGGAGTTTGGAGGTTATAAGAGTGCACTATAGATCAGAAACTCACTATGCTTGCTGGTCTGAGATCACACAAGTATGGTTTTTCTTTTCATGTGTCTAATGCCATCTTTATTAATCAGAAACAGTTCCTGGAACATGTGATAGAAACTAGCTGTACTCCTCAGAGAGACTAAAGGTTGTAATGGCTGCCAGGGGGGTAGTGGTAGGATTTATAGTAGGAAATTACTTGCAATGCTGTGAAAATTTGCAAACAGGGTTGAGCAACTAATCGTAAGCAGTCTAGTGGAGAAAGAGTTTGTTTAATGCTCAGTTAAGGAAAGAGCCACTGAAATGAAAACTTGAAGAGCTGAGCCTTGTATCACAAAACTATACCTTTTTTGCTCCCTGTTCCTCTTCAACACCATCTCCTATTACAATGTACACAGCTTTCCTTCCAAACCTCTGCATTATCCTTTCAAAACAGCTCTCTTTCCCTAAACAACAAAAGAGAAGAAGTGTTTATTATCTGTTAGTAGGACTGGAATTTAGCTATCAGTGCTAAGTCAATGTCTTGATTTAATTTGTTTCTCTGCCTTTCTCTTTTGCTTTTCGAGTTAGGACTTTATTTCAACTACCAGGGACTTCAGAGTTGCAAACTGTCAAGAGTATACCACAAGTGTTGCGATAACTGATATTTCTCCTGCTGGAGTCATGTGATTGAGCTGGTAGTCTCAATTTTCATTTAAAAATAGTAAATATCTATTCATCATGGTTTCAAGGAAAAGCTTGACAGTATGAACATTAAAGTTCAAATACTAGAAGACTACTAAAAGGACCCCAATTTTTGGTTGTTTTTTTAATATGTTTGGAGTTGGCAACAGAGGTCAGCATGATTAAGACCCAAGGCCCCTGGATAACTGTAAGCTTGGACAACTCTCAGGACTGGTCAAAAACTTCCCTTTGAAACTACTGGTCAATAGAAAGTGGGTCTCTGACTAAGCAATATTTTTCATAAACATCCATCTGCTTTCTATAGAAAATGTCAATTTGTGTAAAATTTTCAATTAAGAACTGAGGACCTTCAGCTATACTCTTTTAAAACATGTTGTATCTTAAATTTTCTTTGGAATTACATTAAGGAAACTAATGCAGTTGAAGATTTACAGAGTTGTTATTCTGAGGCACATGAGATGAGATAAGAGGTTCAGGGAAACTTTCGGTATTCATCATCCAAAGGGAAGGAGAGGGAAGTGCAGCCCCTGGGGCAGGATTACTAAGGCACATAGTGAGGCACAGTGGCAGACACCTGGAACAGAACTGGGGTGTTCCTGGTTCTTAGCCCCATGTTCAGCGATCTAGACAAAGATACCTTCACACCTTAGCAGGTTTACTTCTCATCTCCCTCCATATACCAGACCAGTACTTTGAAAAAATCCAAATGGTTTAATTACCTGGAATAATATATCTCAGGTTTTATGATGAAAGCAGTGGATGCTGGGAAAGGACTTTGGGTGTTCAGTAAGTAGAGAACATATATTTGTACTCTACAGATGCGCTTTGTAGATATACATCTCACCACCAAGTTCCTGTGCTTTGATTTAAGAGAGTTTCTTGTCACCTGCGACACATCACTAAATATTCATTCCTGCATCTTCCATCTCTCTCTCTAATTTATAGGCATTTATTTGGTGCTTACAGTGCTATCTCGGCCTCTCATCTTCAACGTTGCTACGATACAGGGAAGTATTAGATCAAATGTAGCAATGAGTGGCTGGGAGAGCATGATAAGCATACTGAGGATCACAAAAATAATTGTGTGGCAGAGCCAGAAATTGAGCCTAGGCCTCCTGTTGCCCAGTCGGGTGGCTTAGTTGAAAACTACCCCTTTTTCTTAGGTCCCATCTACACACAAAGTCTGCAACTAGTTACAGCATAATCCACTATAAATACAGTTTCTGCTAGTAAATGAGATTGCTAATACTCAAAGTTCTTTGGGTAAATCTGATATCCTTTATTAGACCAACTAAAGTAGTTTGAAAAATTCTTCTTTGCAAGCTTTTGGGTGCAAACAGCCTCCTTCAGGCAGAGGAAGCACCTACAGTTGTTCTGTGCTCTTCCTGGATTGCTAATACTCAGCTCTCGTGTCTTTTCTAGCTTTATCCATGGTTGTCTTCATATAACTGGCCTGCATTGTTGCACCCCCATCTTCCAGCTAAACCAAACTGTGTATGCAACAGGCCTGACCTTCCTCTCAGCGTTGTGCATGTGGCAGGGTATTCAAGAGTCTGCTCCTTCACACACTGCTGCTATTCCACTGTTCCCCCATACAGACACTACAGGAGACCTGCGACTGTTTTCTCAGAGTGCTCTAGTACATGCATGGGCAGTCATTAGGTAGATGGGAATACATAATCAGTTTTGATATACAGCTATGCTGTGCATGAAGCTCAACATACTTGTAAATAGGGCAGATATGAGTGCCATCACCTGGTTATTAAGACTCAATTCCAGTTTTTGTTTAAGGTGAGGCCTTGGCTACAGTGCTCTTACCTGTCTTTGTTGCACTATAAATGTTTTCAATAGGGAAGACTGTGCCTAGTCCATACAGGAGTACTTTAGCAAGAGCTGGTATGAGCTGGGTTGTGGTGACCAACACATTTACACAATTAGGCCTAGAAAACAGAACAGTTAGTTGGAATCGTAGTCAGACAATCTGTGTCCTCTCCACTGATGGTCTTGATTTCCAAAGAGATTGTTGATGTAGTTAAAGGCACCTGTGGATTCTCTGCCTTAATCTATATGAATTTATGAGAAATGAAATAATATAAAGCAAACCAGTGACAAAGACGGACTTGCTAAGGTTTTGACATACACCAGTCACCCAGGACTTTAAGTGGTGGCAAATGTCTAACATAATTTACAAAGGTTCCTTGGATGAACTAACTCATCACTAGAACTGCCTTTTTGTCCCTCCAAACGTGTTTAGTACCTGCCTGGGATGCCACCAATGAGGTATTTAGGAGTCAGCCAGGAAAAAATAGATTATTTTTTTCTTTTGTTTGGTCCTTTGAATCATATCAAGTCCACCCCAACTTCTGATAATACAAGTCATGTGCAGACTGGCCTCCTTCAAGTTTGGCCCACAAAGGCCTATAAATGTGCCTCAATTTGTTTAGACAAGAGGAAGGGAAGCAAAGGAGCTCTTGGAACAAGCCTGTAGGCAATTTCTTAAGCTGTTCTTACCGGGAATGTATCAAATTCAGAGCCTTCAGAGCGTGTGTGAGCCAAAGATCAGTCAGCGCTTCCAGCTCTGCTCTTAACTGCAGCCAGGTTTCCCTCTTAGGAGTGCCTATTAAACCTGCAAGCAGGGAAAGCAACATCTTTTGTAGCTGCATAGAAAGAAACTCATGTGGCTTTGGATCTATTACACTAAAGGGCCTCCTGCTCTCTCCTGCGTAGGCTTGAATCTTATATTGCCAGCTCCCCCTCTTCCACTCTGGGTGGAAGTTCTTTCTAATCCTCCCCGGTGTCCCAAGGCTCTTGCTTTGAGTCCTCTTCCCTCCTCCAGGACCTGCCGGTAGTTTCACCTATGGACATCATTGTGAAGCAGATGATGCCCAGGCTGTTTATTAATGCCTCACAGTACTAGTCATGCTTCACACTACTATTCATCTACTTCGCTCTCATCCAGTTCTCCCCAGTTTTGAGGGAACTCATTGGTTATTTGCAATCCATATGACTGAATAGAAGAGGGGTGCTCAATGCCCAGCCCACAGGCCAGAGTCCAGTAACCCAGCCTGGGGTCTCCCCACGGGTCTGGAAATTTGTCATTGGGCAGCAGTGGCAATTTATATAACCACTGCTCCTCTGCTGCCAAATTTCCAAGTCCCAGGGGGCTGGATTGGGCCCAGCCAGGCCAGGCCAGGCCAACTCCGCACAGAGATATCGAGCCCTGTTCCCTTGAGCCTAGATCGAGCCAGAGCCTGATGCAGCTGTGCAAATGGCCCAGCAGGGGCTCAGTGCACCTGCATGTGACTGGGACCTAGACAGGCTGTTCCCATGTGCCTCGATTGGGCCCTGGATGGGCCAGCATCATGCCCCAAACTGGGCCCACCAGACATATCTGGGATGGTTCATCTAGCACCATGGGCTGAAAAGGTTAGGTACCACTGGATAAAAACACCTTTCTTAAGATACCTAATTGGAGCTTACATACAGTATAAGAACAATAGCTAAGATGCAGGGCATTTTCTAAAAAATAATGACCAGTGGGAAGGAGCTAGAGAGCTGAGATGATGCAGATAGCTTTTGAATCTACCTCGTCCCTGATCTCCCTGAAAGTCTGTGCACAAGGCCCTTATTCCCACTCTCCATGGGAAGGACATTATTCCTACAACCACATATAATGCAAACTTTTAAAATACCTTTAGGAATACTGTTGGTCTCTTTAGGGTTCTCACTAAAGAAGAAATGAAGCAGCCTACTAGAAAACATAGCTGAGCCACATCTGTAACTCTAACATAAAGTAGGCTAGATCATCCCATTACTTTGAAATATAATACAGAGGGGGTGGTAGGAAGAGGGCTGAGAGTTGTGAATGCCTTTTTCTGCCACGTACACAAGAGTTCATCTATCTGTTTGAGGAGGGTGTGTTTTTATGCATTATTCATAGGCTTGGCAGGATTCGATTCTGCTTGATAAACACTGATAATTTCACTTCACATTCACAGACCAACCAAAAATATTTCCACTGTTAATAACTGAAATTTATGGAAAGGGGACATCAGAAAAATGATGGCTGACAGAGTGTGTGACAACGGGGGGGGGCAGTCCTACAGAACTGTGCTGACTGCAGTTTGGGCTGTAACTCCCAGAAACCCCAGGGGACTGGGAACAAAGAAAGAGGAAGTGCTAAAGCAGATGAGGGAGCTATGGACAAGCAGAACCGGGACAGCTCTGATGGCAGCTCTGCTGCTCAGCTGGCGGCAGTCCTACAGTAGTTATGT